GTCCCTCCTGCTTCGGTACCAGAGGGTGTGTGCACCTCGGCTGGGCTCTCCTGGACTTTGGAGAGGAGACGGGGTGGGGGATGAGAGAGACTCATGTCGACAAGCAGCAAAAATCCTGTGTGTTTGAGCACTTACCCTGTTGTCTTGGATTTGGCCGAATCGAGGCTCTAGTCTATGACATGGAGGGGGTTCAATGGGACTGTTGAGCTAATCCCATCCCGAGGCAGATGTGGAAGGGAAACTTACACAGGGAAGGGATGCACGAAGGGGAAACACTTGTTAGCACTGTTGCTGAGGAAGCTGTCTGTGGGTAAGGAGGAAGAGCAGGAAGGTTAGAACGGAGATGTGGTGGTCACTGTGGGCTGTGGTACCTGGTACCTGGGAAGAAGGATTCTGGACAGGAGGGACCTCCTTCCCAAAGCGGAGGAGGTAGTGGTCTGCAGCCTGGCTTTCTGAGGAGGCAGGACCATGCCATGGGCTGGCCTAGATCTCTGCCATGAATGTCCAGCCAGCACATCAGTTACTTGCTCCTTAAGTTTGGATGACCTTCTTGATGTCTTTGTGCTGAACCTGCTCAGCAGATATTGATCATATTGAAGTCTTTCCTGGGGCCCAAGCCTGGATGTGGAAGTCTAGATGTGGTCTAAGATACTTGTATTTAGCTCATACTACACCCTCAAATATGGTAAAGACGTTTCTCTTCTTTCCTTTTGTTGTGTGCAAGGCTGTTCTGGCTGCTTAGCATCGCAGCCTTGAAGTACCAGTATTGGTGGTGGTGATCGTGGAGTAAGGAAACAGGTCTTAGTCCTGGCTTTAAGAACAAGAGAGACTGATTTGAGAAAGCAGCAAAAATCCTGTGTATTTGAACACTTACCTTGTTATCCTGGATTTGGCTGAATAGAGGCTCCAGTCTATGCCATGAGGGGTTTCAATGGGACTGTTGAGCTAATTCCATCTTGAAGCAGACATGGAAGGGACACACTGCTACAAGGATTTTGTCTGGGTAGCTAACAGTCTTCCAAGGGGATGTGTAAAGAGTGGGTATTCTTGATGCCCAGACACTGAACATTCCAGTACTGCATTCCTGATGGATGGCAATTAGAATAAGATAAAATTTGGTTGCAGAAAACTTTGGTAAGTGGAGAGCCTGTCTGATGAGTATTTGGAAATTGTCTTGTTTTAGAAAAATCTGACAATCCATTGTAAAAACACAGGTCAGAGCTGATAAGTTGAACATTAGGCTAATTTAGGTGTTCAGTATGGAAGACACTGCCTGTTGTGTTCTTTCCCAAGCAATGACCCAAATACTTCCGTGTAACTTCTTGTAGGCTGTGTCTGTGGCTGGTTCTTTTTGTACAGCTGTCATGGTTTTACCCCAGCTAGCAAACAAGAACCACACAGCTGCTCACACACTCCCCCACCAACAGGATGGGGGAGGGAATCAGAAGGGTAAAAGGTAGAAAAACTCATGGGTTGAGATAAAGATGGCTTAATAGAGAAAGCAAAAGCTGCACAGACAAGCAAAACAAGAAATTCATTCACTGCATCCCACAGGCAGGAGGTATTCACTCCAAGGCATCACTCAAAGGCTAGAGAGAGATGGGCTGATTCCAGTGGGATGAGGTTTAACAAGGCCAAGTGCTGGTCCTGCACTTTGGCCATAGCAATCCCATGCAGCACTACAGGCTGGGGACAGAGGGGCTGGAGAGCCGCCAGGCATGTGTATTCTTTTTATCTAAACCTTTAAGTAAATCAAGGTATGACAGAAATCTGCTAGCTTGTAACTATTTTCTAGCTTTGGGTGCTGATGGTCTGGGTACTATGAATTTTAGGCAGAGGGGTGTACAGCAGCATCATGCAAGTGCTTAAGTGGCACATTTCTGTGCACATGCAGTGATGTGTTTCTGAACTGATGCTCCCTTGTCCTGGTCAGGTTTGGAGCAGAGGCAGAACAAGCTTAGGTCTGAAAGTGGCACAGCAGAAGAGATATTTCCCCACTTGCTATTATGCCAGCAGAGGCGTTTGTGCAGTTAGCTGGTTTTGGGAGGTGAACCAGGCTGCAATTAACCCTTGGGGAGACAGACTTTAACCTGGATTGCTTCTTCATCTGGCTCATCCCCTGGCGGCTGAAGTTTTCACTAACATTCTACTTCCTGCTCAGTGCCTCAGCCAGGCCGGTGTTCACTTCTTCAGCTTTCAAGGCAAATGTCTTCATATATAAGGATGAAGGCTGGAAGCCATTGGAGTCCAACATGCACAGGGGTGTGATGTGCCCTGGGGAAATCTCAGAGCCTGGTACCAAAGGGCAATTCAGGGAATGATCTGGTGAGTCTTGGGAAACAGTGATACCTCTGCAACAGGTGTGTGCAGCAGCAGGTGAGAAGGTGTGATGGGCAGATTCCCAGATCCATCACCTCTGGACTTCCCTGTAGGCTGTCGGTTGCATAAGAAGTAATAGTAAGAGACTGTTTATGTGTCAGTGCACAGTTGTACCTGATACCAATGAACAATGTTCTGTACTGATGTTCCAGATGAGTAATGTCCTACATATGTATCTGTTTGACTCCGGAGAGAAAGCAAAGTGTAATAAAGGCAGAGATACAGTGTGGTGACAGAATAAAGCTGTGAAGACCCTGAGCAAAATACTGCTGCTGTGTTAAACTCCCATTTTTATAGAATATTCTTCAAACACAAAAAAGAAGGTTGCGGAAAGACTCACAAATATGTGAGTTTACAGTAGGAATGATGACATCGGATTTTATACCTTTGGGAGACTCTTTCCAACATTAGTTCTGAGTCAGGTGAAAAATGTAACCTTGGGAGTGTGTATGCACTTTGTTTTTCCCAGTCTCTAGGGTTTGTATGATGCTTTTAAATAGTGCTGTGCATAATCAGTACAAGAAGATTGTTAATATACTGTTCCCTTGAGCATAATGAGGCTACGTCTGTGAGAGCTTTCACAGATACACTTTTTTAATAGTGTGAGTTGCCCACTTTAAAAAGCTTTGATCTCTGTTGAACATTTCTTGGCTTCACCCCGTAAAAGTAGACACCCTGAAAATATTTCTCTATGTCTTTTCTAACTGTATGTAGACATCAGGCTGAAAAAAATAATTTAAAATACTTTAACTTTACTTTATGCTTTTCTTGGACTGTGTTCAGATTTTGTGTCCTGCCCCCAGCTATGTGGCAGAAGATACTGCCACAAACTTTTCCCAGAGAACTACAGATCACTGTTAGAGGCCCTTCAGCATTTCATTCTGGTGAAGAGTTCCTTTGCAGCCAAGCAGAAATTGAGGGAAACAAAAGTGCAAATTTTGTTTTCATTGTTGCAGGATGATTTCATGCAGAAAACTGTCACTCCCTCTTCTTTAATAGCCTTGCCTCTTAACTAGGATTGCTGAAACTGCTTGAAATCACACTGTCCTTTGTAGTGTGTTCTTCCTAAGAGCACACCACATGTTCTTCCTGCCTCTTATTAGGCATAAGTCCCAGAGGTCACTATCCTTCTGATTTTAATGCACTGATCTCAGTGAGAAAGGTAGTTGGCTTCACTGATGACTGCAGAAGATAAGAAGTCTTTTTCTGCCCTAATACTTCTTCTAGGCAGGTGCACAAACTGTACTATGAGTATTCTTACTAAGTAAAGAGGGATCAAATAAATGAGAAGGATGTAGAGCTGGATACTTTATAGTCACACCATGGGTACAGCTTGGTCAGAAAGAGGATGTGATCCCATGGTTTGACATAAAGCACAGCATGCATGATTTCCACCATTCCCAGCAAAATCTATTAAATTGTCACATTCTGGTGTGAAATAAATGTTTCCCTTTAGGTTTACTTTAAAATATTACAAGTAAATATTTCACAAGCATAAATGAACTGCATGTCTAATAAAATCAAGATGTGAAATATCTTATTTGTTGGTTTTTACTAGTGCTTAAGGGTACATTTAGTAGACTCCTAGATTTCTTTTGTGCTGGTATTTGTGAGCTTCCTTCGGAAATATTTGACATAAATAAATGATGGTGAAAGCATGCCTGTTGCCTTAGAGAAGCTGCAAGAGTGATACCACATCAAGCCTTGCAGCTTAGCTCTGTGGAAAGTCCCAAGTCTACAGGCACTGTCATCAGTCTGGTACACTGAATTCACTTTTAACTCATCACCCCCTTAAAAGTTCAGGTTGAGTGAGTCCAGTAGAGACAAAGCAGAAAATTATGTCTTTTAGAAAGAGCAATGACATACCCTGATCGGTGGCTGGGGAAGATCTGCAAGCATTACAAGAGCACTGGTAGCATGTGTGATCGTGGCTACTGGTGCCAAAGCAAAGAATACTTTAATCTTCTGAGACAACTCAGGATAAGTAGAAAATGCTATGAAGCCTGCAAGCACAGAAGAAGAGTTGAGCTAATGAAGAGACCTCCACAGACCAAATAAATGACCAGTAGACAGCGAAGAAGTGAAACTAAATTAGCCTCCCAATGGCTGTTGTCCATTTCTGTGCTGCAGACCTAAAGAGAATGTTTGATTGTTGCTTGAAACTTTTATTTAGAAGACAGAATTAATTCTAAAGGTACAAGCTCATTGGAGCATGTCCAGATGTAGAATTTTTTCAGGACTTGCAGTTTTGTGTTAAGGCCATCTGTTGGGGACAAGGTCCATTCATTAGATTTTTTTTAAAATTTAAGTTCTCTCTAAATGTCCCTAAATTCCAATAAAATAATGAGTTTCTCAACTTGCAGTGTCTAGAAGACTATATATGTTTATGCTGGCATGCAGCAATACAATAATTATCTGAATATTAAGATCAGAATTTTTACTTGTAGCTATGCACGTACTTGGGTGAAACTGAATGCACACATATAGGAAGAGTGGAAGGAAGGAAGGAAGGAAAACCACAAAGGGTTCATCCTATTCTGTTTTCTGAACATGTCTAAATTCCTCCACTGATGGATTAGGTTAGATATTTTGACTGGTTGACATAGGCATCTAAAGATGAAGAAGGTGGTGACTTGATCTGAATTATTCATTCTGCAAAAAGACTCATTGAGTGCACATATGGGAAGTAAGGAAAATAATTGTCTAAGAATTAACAACATGCCACTTCCTCTCATTTTCTCCTCTGTTTCTGTGTTTGTTTTTGTAAAAGGACAATGGCACCCCATGGCATACATTCCAGTGTCTGCTCACAGATCTCATTACCTAAATCATAAACACAAACAGTAACTGTTTTGTACATAGACAGTCCTAACCTTACTGCAGTGGTGTCTTCAGAATGACCAGGATAGTATACTTCCTTCTGTCCAGTTTTATTCATGATGAAGTACAGCTCTGCTGAAATATCATAACTACCCATTTCATCAAAGCTACAGGGAGAAACACAAAAAGCTAGCAGACAATTTGGCAATCACAGAGTGGGTTACTGAATGTCAGTTTTTCTTGTTGCACCAAGCAGGACCCATTGAAGGATGAGGTTGCATGCCATGTCTGCATCCTTGCTTGAGTTGGGGAATTGGGCAGAGAGACACAGCTGCATGGCCAGGCTGCCTGATTGATGTCTTGGGCTCTCTGTGAAGAAGGTACCAGTTTTGCCTGACAGCTGCAGCCCTTGGGGAACTGAATTTAATCAGTGCTTTCACCAGCATGGGTTGCAGGAGATAATTTTCTCTCAGTTTGTATCAGTTATGGTAGTAGTAATTATTTCTCCACAGAGTACCTGAACTGCCAAAACTCTTTCTGGCAGGACTTAAGGGCCTTGTGTTTTAAAGACCATGTGTTTCCTCAGCTCTTTCCCATCCAGACATCATAGCTAGCATCTGCAAGGATGAAGCCTCGGCTGTTGATAGGCAGGTTAGAAATCCAGAAAGTAGAGTCTGCTAAAATACCATGGTATAACAAGATTGCAAGCTTCTTCCCTGAAAGAGAATTTTTCTTATTCTGTACTTATAGGTATTGCATAGGTAAAACTGGAATGCAGAATCTGGTTTTGTGGGAATTTTTAAACGTATATACAGAATTCAGGCCAGATTCTAGGCTGAATGACTAGGTGCCATGCTGAGATGGAAAGGTGTAGAACATGCCATTGCATGTGCACAGGGGAAGGATGAGGGACCCATGTAAGAACTGGCTCTCAGACCTTTGTTCTGTGCTATAACTGTGTCATACCTGTATTTTGGCTATTCCTTCCAGCTGGAATTCTGAAAACACCAAGAATGTATCCGTCTTCTGTTGTAAGTTCATATTCCTCACAGAGATACCCATAATATCTGACAATTTCACTCTGTGAGAAGCCGAAGGAGAACTTGTTAACATGTATTTCCAGTGTAGAGATTGGTGTTTAGAGGCTGCTTCTGCCCAGGTATGTGAAGTTAGTCAAGAACATGCCAGGAAGATAAATGTGATAACATATTGCTAACTTTTCTCTACTGCTCTGTGTTACCAAAAGGGATTCCTGCAGGAAAACAATACCTATGTGACGAAGTGACCTCAGCCACTCCTCATATGCCTTCACCTTGAGGCCCTTCAAGACCTTCATTGCCCTCCTTTGGATACTCTCTATCAGCTTAATATCTTTCTTATATTGTGGTACCCAAAACTGCACACAATATTCAAGGGGAGGCCATACAAGTGCAGAATAGAGCAGGAAGATCACCTCCCTCAACTGGCTGGCAATGCTTTGCCTGATGCACCCCAGGACATGGTTGGCCCTCCTGGGTACTAGGGCACACTGTTGATTCATATTCAACTTGGCATGGACCAGGAGCCCCGGTCACTTTCTGTAGCTCTACTTTCCAGCCTCTCATTCCCCAGTCTGTAGGTCCAGCCAGGGTTGTCCCATCTCAGATGCAGTATCCAGCATTTGCCCTTGTTAATCTCCATATGACTGGTGATCGCCCAGCTGTCTAATTTATCAAGATCTCTCTGCCTTCGAGAGAGTCAACAGCTCCTCCCAGTTTTGTATCATCTACAAACTCACTTCATGTCCCTCCAAGTCCTGCATCCGAGTCATTTATGAAGATGTTGAAGAGCAGTGGGCCTAAGATGAAGCCCTGCAGAACACACTAGTGACTGGTGCCGGCCTGATGTAATCCCATTCACTATACTTTTGGGAGATAGTTTGTCATGTTTTGCAATGCTGATATATCTAGAAATGTACAGGTTGTAAACATGCAGCAGTATCTATTTGGTCCATAAAAAACGGTTCCTTGCCGACGTGTGGTTAGGCAAGCCAAGTCGGGCTCATGTCCTATTACAGGCTCACTCACAACACTGCCTATTACACTCTTGCCACAGTGAGGAAATCTTTGGTGATTCAGAGCGAGGGGTCTTGAATTAGTTTGTGTGGTGAGACTCTACTGTTTGAAGATGTTCAACTTTCCTTACCACTGTACTTAGCGAGCAGGTTGTTACAGAAGGGCAGGTCTTTGCTTCACTTAAAATGAGAAACCAGCCTTTGTCTCCCTTGCAAAGGAATTCTTCGCTCTTGCAGATTAAACTTCTTGGGCAGGAGCATAAACATTTCTTCCAGGCAGGTGCTCACAGAGCTGGAGAAACCTACTTTTAGCCTCCTGACATGCACTGTTAGTGACTAGTAGTGGTATTGGGACAGAAGGGTTAGAAGGAAAGGAAGGTGGGAAGGCGACCCAACTTATTGCTCTGAAAGCATTCAGGGTTGCGAGTCTTCCTGTACTGACGTGTCTGGACTCAGAGTGGAGAGTG